TTGACACGTGTCCATTAGCATAATCATAATTAATTATTTACTTTATATTTATAGAACTATCGTTATATCAATGGACACATGTCAAGTATTGATATGCCAACTGGTCAATAAAAAATGTCATTAACTTATAGAATGGTGTCTCGAACAAGTTAAGTGTGCGAGAAAATTCCTCTTCTCATTTTTAACTTTGGGAAAAACCAAAAAAAGTTATATAAAGCTCCGCTCACTGTGCATCGCATTTAAGTTTGGTTCATCCGGTGGAGGCTGCATCTGGTTGCTTGGCCTTGGAGAAAGTCCAATCGCACTTGTATTCTTCAGTCTTCTTCAAACCACGGTCCAACCACTTTGACGAATTTTCTTCTTTCCTGGGAAGCTGCTTTTAACTTTAATATTGTGTAAAGTCTAAACAAGCCCTTTCACTGTTTCAAATTCCATCAAATTCCATCCACGCACTTTCCAAGAGTACACGTCGTTCCCCCCTGTGCCAGGAATTTTTTAGGCTCCCACCAGAGCTTGTGGTGGGCATAATTCCATGGTGGCCCGCCATTTTCTTATAAAGTGATGTCAAAGAGATCCGAGCTATATCCAACGTCTCGTGGTGCAGAAGCTGCGTCCTGAGAACGCGTGTGGACCATCTTAATTACAACATGAAGAAATACAGCTACCCAGCATCTGCATGTATGTGTTTATGTTAAGATATACATAATAAGACTTAAGCGTGTGTCTGAGAGAAATTTCATCTTCTTTAGTTTAGATTATCACTGGTATTAAAAGAAAAATAAAAGCTTAAGCGTTAATCGGTTAGTAAATTAATAAAACTCGTTTTGATCCACTCCACAACTTATCTAATGATCCAAGTTGTTAGCCAATATGTATAATATCCATAAACCATACACATATTTTTTCACCATCACACATATGAGGTAATAGAAGTCATCATCAACTTTAGTTACCCTCTCGATGTTTCTATTTGTTAATTATTTCATGGTAACGCAGTTGCAGTTAAATAAAAAGTTATTAATTCATTATTTTCTGGAAATGAGGGTAAAGAATGAGCAGGCATGGGATGAGAGCTCACATATATTATTCATAATACATATCTTCGTAGTATATCTACATCTAACCAAATCTAAACTTTTGGGGTCCAAATGGGTATATATATGATATGACTCATATTTCTTTTTCTTTTCTCCAGTATATTGAACCTAACATTTTCTTTGAGTCTCTCTTTTTCTACATGAGAATAGGCCTCACGGCTCACGTTATAACCCCTCATTATAGCCTCATTGTATTGACTTCGGGCGTTTGATGCGTTTACATAAACCTCAGAATTCGGCTTTGAGTTTAGGATCATTGGGTTTTGAGTTGAAGGTTCGAACTCACATCTGGGTTTGGATTGTGACGAAAAATTAGAAATGGATCAATGTGTTCGGGTCTATTGGAGAGCAAAAGCCTTAATTTTATTTATTTATTTTTTTTGGAATCATAAACTGACACAGCCTAGAGGTAAAAATGTGTAGACAAAGGCCACACAGAGCACCCAAGGTAAAAAAAAAAGTGTAAAAATTACTTGTAATGAGCTTGAATAACATTGGGTTGAAGATGAATGAAACAGATTGATAGGGATGTGTAGTTCAAACAGGCTCTAGATGGCCATGAGCATATACAGATGAAGAGAAACACATTAAACAAGGCCACGGAGAAATTAATGCATAATAAAGTCCAGAAAAGAAGGGTAGAGCTAGAAGAGGGCAAAAACCAGAGCAAATAATTATCTGATAGAACAGAACACAGCAAAATATACGGGGCTCAATCTGAAAGAAGCCAAATTGCAAAGGAAAGGAGACCTTGAGTTGTTGGATAGCTCCTACCCCAACATGGAAGTTAACCAACATCATCAGCAATCTGAAACAAATTAATAAAGCACAAACAAAATAGAACATGGCCAACTGCATGCACCAGCAAACATAAAACCCAAAATACTATCTTCTGCAAACAAAAGAATGAATATTGCAGATCCAGCTGATGTAGACTTGCTCAAGCCTCAACTCAAGGTACAAATTCAAAATTTCTGCTTTAGTTAATAGTCGGTGCATATAATAACCGAAATTCAGAGTGATCAGGTCATGTATCACTATAATAACATGGAAGAACAGTTGACCAGAAATACATAATAAAAATAAATAAGTCACCTGCAGAAAATTTTCACAAGTGCACTGCTAGCTGAAAATACATTAAATATAAATGATAATACAGCTTCAATAAATAAAAGTTTACTACTTTAATTCTTCCTATATATTAGCTAGCTGCTAGTTTCTCCACCATGGGCTAGCTGGTGGGCATGTTGTGGTAGGCTAGGAACTGGTGTTGGCCACCATGGGAGTACGAATGGGAAGAAATAAAAATTATTGAGTTTCCTCTTTTCAACCATCTTTGACCACTTTCTTGTACGAATGTTGCACATTATAACATCTGCATCCACATATAGATAAAAAATATCCTCATTATTTGGGTCGAAAGATAGCCTCTCAACGACTCGTGCATCATCCGGATACATATCTTGGTCGAAGGAATAAACATTGTGTTTACTCAAACACAATTCGCCAGCTCCCTTGACCATATAATCATGATCTTGTCGTTTCAAATCCCAAACAAACAGAGTTTTGGTATCTGTGTCAAAGTCACACATCCGCAAGAACCCTCCACACACACCCAGGCACTCAACAACAAAATGGTCGGCTACAGGCATAGCAAATACCACGAAACGACATTTATGATCAATAATATCACCACCATTGCTACAACCACTACTAGTGCTAGTACTGCTATTGTCATTGAACGGATCCAACCCAAGAACCAGAAAATAGCCATAATCATGACCCGACCAATACAACACTCCATTGTACGAAAAGGCCATAGCATCGAGATAATCATAAGAAATTCCTCGTGGGGATGATACAACTAACTCGCTCCATTTGCCAGTCTCAAAAGAGAAGATCTCCACATTAAAATTGAAGCAGTGCTCATCATGATCAAATACAAATTGACGATCAGGAGGAAGAATTCTCACAACCTTGCACCTAAACTTGGCATTAAGCTGGATGACAAGTCCATTTGGATCGTCTTCCTCATAGTAGGGACTATCACAGATGAATCCCACTCGTACAATGTCATAGCATCGAGTAGGGGTGGGAGGAAGAGCAACCCATTGCGTGGTGTATGGATTGCATATGTAGTAATTGTGTTGATCAAACAAGCTATCACAGCATAAAATCAAGTCATTGTAAGCCCCTACCACAACTGGCTCTGTTTCCAAATGGTCGAAACTCTCGAGTCTTTTCAACATAGGAGTTAACACTTCGGACAAAGAAACTCTGTTAAATAATTCCTCTGCATTGCGGCTTATCAAAGTTCGTACAGTAGGCGTTTTCCTATGACTTTGGAGACGCAAAAAGCGGTCAATAAAATAAGGAGCAGAGATGAGAGTGAGCCAACGCTTGCACACACACTTGCATTGAAAAATGAATTTACCGCAAGGAACTCGACAAAGTATTTCAACCAACACAAGCTCAGGGAGATCATGAATATCCATCAATTTCGATGATTGCCTTTGCCTTACGGGTGATGATCTATCTTTTTAGGTGTATATGCTCCAAGGGACTGCTGGGCTCTACTGCTTCCTCCAATGGCAGCACAACTTAATTAGGATCGAGTTCAAGATGATGTTTCAAATTTCAATACATACAAGATTATATATAATAAATAAATAAACTAAGAAAACGAATGCAGCTAAAATAGAATCAACAAAATGAAACTAAATACAAGAAACTGCTTGCTTAGTTACTTGGTACAATAGAACTCTATGCATTTGTGAACCCTAAATCTAGAAATTGGGATTTAGGGTTAGAAATTTTACTGTCAATAAATAGGAAATTGGAAATGAAGGATTTTACCTGGTCAAGACGGAAGAGGATGATTTTCTTAAGCACCCAAACAGAAATAGCAGGAACAACAAAGAACCAGAGGAATCAAATGGTCCTTGATTCTTAGACAGGAGGAGGAGAGGAGGAGATGAGGTGGAGAGGAGTGCAAGTGCAACGATAACCCAACTGAACTAGTAAAGCTTCTAGAAACAACCGCAGTTCGTGTTGGGCTGGTAGCTGAAGAGGCCCAAGATCGTGGGCAAATGGGCTTTTACGCTGTTTTTATTTATTTATATAAAACTTTTACCACTAGCCTTACTTAGAAGTGGATAAAATCATATAAGTATAAAAGAAAATTCCCGAATAAGTATTTTATGTTAAATAGAAATAACATAAAAGTAGAGGCTAGGATTCACACAAGATGAAAATTGTCTTCTATGATATGATTCGTTGGTATGGTTTTGCACACCCTTAGTTGGCAAGAGACCAATCTAAAGAAAACCTTCATACACTTATTTCAACTTCACAATTTTGTTTTCTGCCCTAGGCCCACAATTTTATGTCCATCCACAAATAATGTTGTGCATCTTTGACCACTTTATGGTGCGATAATGTTGTGCATGACAATACCTCCATCCACAAGTAGATAGCAAACATCCTGGTTGTTTGGATCGAAACGTAGCAGCCGAACAAACAATGCATCATCCGGATACATATTTTGGTCCATCGAATAAACCATATATTATTTGATAGTGATTTTGGAAATATCAGAATGACGCAAATATGTTTTTCCAGAATATTACTTCCAAACGAGCTCTAAAATATAATTTTAGGGTTGAGGCGGAATAATATATATTACAATTATTTGTAGGGAAGATAATCAACTAGGAACGTTACATTGCAAACCCTCACGGGTTGACCCAGTGGTAAGGGCCCTATGTAAACGGGAGATCCTAGGTTCGATTCCTGCCGTTGGTGAATCAAGCGATGAGGGCCAGGGACGGGG